CATATTTATGTATGTTCACAAAATGATTTCGCAGACTTGAAAGGCGCATTCGAGACAGCATTCAGAAATACATCCAATAGGGCGCTCATGTTCTTGGAAGGGGAAATTGAATTGTGCCAGCCACTTGCAGAACTCGAGACTAAGAATAAGCCTTAGGGAAAAAGAAGGAATTCTGGGAGAGGACTGAGCAACAAATACTCTCCTTGATGTTTCTCCCGTCTCCTGGGCTTAGTCGGTGTCACCTACCATCGTATCTTAGATGCCCTGTCCTGTTCTGAACGTCCCCCCACCTAAGGCATGAGCGCCTTCAATAGTGTGTTCCACGGCAAATGCCACTTCGATTTGGGATTTTTGCTGGTTCTTCCCCATTTTAATTAGAAGCGCACAACTGCGCATCACCCGCAACGCCTGTAGGCAACCTATTTATCTGTGAAAAATAGGAGTCAGTTTCCATGAGCTACTCCTGTGAGAGCCACCCCACATTTGCATGGTGATGCCCAAAATTATGAGTTTTTCAGGACCACTGTCACAACTAAGGCACTGAATTCTTCAATTGAAATCCTCCGCGATCCTGTCACATCGGTGTTTCACCCTTTAACACCTGATGCCCTACTGGCTATTGATGCCATCGAATACATAACAGATCACCTCAAAAAGGTCGAAGAGTTCAAAATGGTGAGATTTTTTTGGCTTTCGAGATACCTGGAGGCTCACGTTGGAAACAAACCGAGATGCAGATCGAGTCAGGGTATGACCCTGCCTTTGTTCTAATAGTATTTCTACCATTCGAAAAAAATAGTTATATGGAAAAGCTGACCAATTCTTTCTCGGGTAACCCATGCATCTGGCAAATAATTATGATTAGGATGGATTTTTATTCTGCTTTCATTCCATATGAATTCCCACTGTATCTCATCTACAAAAATTGCCTGACTCATCCGGTAGGGTTACAATGGTGTGCAATATAATTCCTGCAACTTTGTTCACTAAAATGAAATCCAAGGCAATACGGAAGATGGAATCAAGCTACTTCACGGGAATATCGCATGGGCATTGCTGCGGTAATTGGTGGTGAACATAAACAACGGGAGTGCAGTGATGCGAAAGGACGAAAAAGTGCTACCGAAGATGCTGTAGGCTATAAGAGGCTCAGGTTACAGCTAGCAGGTTACAGATGACGAGCAGCACGCTACCTAAAACTTAGCGGTCACAATAATTCCATGTGAATGACTTTTATGGAGCCCTCCTTCTGCTCATTGACTTCGAAGGTGTAGGAGCTAACGGCCAAGATTGTGGCCGAGAAAGGTTGAAGGCGCCGATCACGATAGGTTCTAGGGAAGATTGGAAGGGACGTGGGGGTGCTCAATGGTACACCAAAGACGAAAAAGCAGAAAAATCCGTCAAGAAAACGCAAAACGGGACCCCCTTTTTGGCCGTTGATTTTCGCTCAAGGTGGCAGCGGTAAGACGGCGGACGTATGGACGAGTTCACCGCAACGCGTTTGGTGGCACATGCCAATCCATGCTCCAGTCGAGTTGCTCCAGTTGTGCCGCTGCTGGCAACACAGCTCGTCCAAATCACCAACTAATTAACACATTGACGACATTGAGACGCGGTAACGCGTCTCACTTTGCGCACCTCGTTGGACATTGAGACGCGTTACCGCGTCTCACCCTTATCATCCCTTTTTCTAGGGCATGCGCAGCTTTTTCCCGAATTGTTTGTCTCTCTTCTATGGATTAGAACATAACATTATTGTGAACGACATAGGTCATTGTTTGTTCAAATATGCTCCAGTTTAGAAGAAGTTTTCCAAGCTCACCGAAACCGGCGGCTTGGTTCATTAATAGTTTTCATGCTATTCTCATGAACACGTCAATAAAAAAGGGTAGTGAAAGTAAATGCAAATCTAAAGAGACAGAAAAATACATGTTTCACTTGGTATAACCACATCAAAAGAGCTTTTGGCATCCACTACAGATAAAATGACTAAAGTTTCCTTTTTCATTACCATTACATGTTCTTTAATCGGAACTTCGTCACTATATACTCTATTACCTTCTACGCATTGACTGTTACTGAGATGTTTTTGTACCACTGGTGCTTTAAAAAGTTATCAATAAAAATTCACGGATCCGAGGTGCGGCGGTCGCACTCGCAAAATCGGCCCGGTCCCACACGGCCAAAAAAGCCAAAACGCGCGCGGTCGTCAATGTGTTAAAGGAGGATTGCACGGAAAGAACGAAGGTCGAAGAAGGGAGAAATCGCCTAGTGGGGAGAGCGGTGAATCTCTTGAGGGTGCGGACAGACACGCAATCGGCATCGAAAGATTTGACCTCTGAGATCTAGCATGGCTCAAAGTTGGCGAGTTCGGCGATCTCCGCCCACCGATCGTCTGATCACTCGCCGTAGTACAATAGGTGGCGAGTGATTAGATAGCTGAGAGAGCGTAGTGTTGAAGAGGGCACAGCGATGAGAGTCGCATCAATGCTCAAATCAACGGACAAGGAAGGGGTCCCATTTCTCCGGTTCTGGGCCGTTTTTCGTGGTTTCGCTTTCTTTCTGGTACTACTCACCATCTCTACCTCAATTTGGAATGGGTTGCTTTTCCATCGTAAATTCGTCCTTTAAAGTGGGTGGAAGCGCTTTCAGGGCGGAGCACTTTACAAGTAGTGCTCAGCAACCAGCGCAACCCTCGTCATGAAAGCGCGACACTTCGCTCCCTTCCTTTAACCTTTATCCTTGAAGTGAAAGTGATAAAAGATACGCCAGCACAAGTTCAATCAAGTACCTTTCACGGACGGACAACATCAGAGGTGAACGGGCTTATGTTTTGAAACTTATCTGAAAATCTTCTCACCCATAAACCAGAAAATTCAGTAAGGAATTACCCAGTGACCGCTGCCTTCAAGAACAGCTATCCGTGGCACATCCGTTTTCTCTCGTAGCTCTACGCTTTATTCCTCAGTTAGCCGAGATTAGAGCGCGGTGAAACGGTTAAGCGTCTTGGAGAGGAAACGAATTCAGTTGTGCTCAGGAAAAGGAATTATAGTAGCTCAATTTGAAGGCAATTAATTTTTCCCCAAAGTAAACCGCCCCGCGATGACTGGAAGTACGTGGCTATGATTATTGATCGATTGCTACTGTACGTATTTTTTGGGATTACTGTAGGGCGGTACATGTGGCATACTATTCAGTGCACCATATGTCTTCCAAGGTAAGAAATGCAGTTTAAAGAATTATTAGAAAGAATTGAAATATGGTATGAAGTACAAAGTAACACGCAGAAACGAAATTGCATTCAAGGAGAAACCTTGCGATTGTCTTATGACCAGGTACGATTCCTGTCGGCGGATTGGTCGGTCACTTCCGCCAATCACGGACATGTCCATTCCCTCAAAAATCTCTGTTAGAGCGCCTATGGCCGGGGTCAAACTTCGCGAATCCTTGGATGTGCTAGCGAATCGCTGAGACGAGCGGTGCACCAGCGGTTTGAACGATGCGCCAGCGGTTCTAAGCACCAGCGGTGCAAACTATGCAAGGCGACCCGAATAAAAGTGGCGATAGCCCCTCTCGTTTGCGTTCAATCTCGCTAATTCCCAGGCTCTCACGCCCTGTCACTCTCTCATACCCTCGGGCAGGAAAGAACGTGCGAATGAGATGGACACTGCCACTTTCAAACCCGTCGAGTCTCATCGTTTAGACGACTGGTACACCATAAGAATCGCGTCACAAAGCCCGCATTCGCTAGCCAATTCCAAGGATTAGCAAGTCTGAAACCAGCCTATAGTTGGCTGGAAGCGCTGGAAAAAAAGGCCAATGTTGAAACTATTTCAGGAGTAAATCAACGCGAAGTACTTCAACGACTCATCGAACTGTACAAGACACGAGGCAGTAGCTAGCTCATCTACATATTAATGCGGGTTTTCTGTGAAGGCGTTTCTGAGGTCCTTCTTTCAATAAACGTTTACATTATTGTTGTTCAAAATTTAGAATTACTAGCAGCTCAGGGCTGATTATTTTTAATCAACATTTTATCTGAAAAAACCAAAAAACACGATCGAATTGCTCTATAAAGTCCTTCTGAACACATTTTCAAATCCCTTTGCGATTGGGCATAAAATTTGGAAGCCTGGCGTATACTGGAGGTCAGAACCAGATAGAATCCTTTCCTTCCGAATAGCGCCGGCATGGGAGGGCATCCACTGTGAGGAGAGAGCTTCCGGTTTCACGGGCTATATTTACACTCCAAGAGCTACCTCATCTGTAGTTTCACATGCTCCTCTTTGCCCTTACTAGGATTTTCTAAGGTGGGCCAAGCCTGGAAAATTGTGTAGAAAACGACTACAATTGATGTCTCCATGATGCCTGGGAGAAATATATCAATTGCATTTAGGACTCATGGGAACACAATCTGTAAGCTTCCAACACACCATCGTGGAACTCTGGATCCGCTGGCGATTCGCGCGATATTCGCAGTCTGACACCTGCCTTATTGTTAGACCCCTTTCCCACCTCCGACCAATTGCTGCAGCCAAATGCGAAGTATGGAGGAGAAGAAGGCATGCTCAACAAAGGCCACCAATGGGGGGGGGGGGAGGAACAAAGGCCATTATAGGGGGAAAGTAACTCCAAGCCAAATTTAAAACGGAATTAATTACACTTTGCTGAATCAAATCGAAAGACCTCAAGTGAACATTGAAGAGCTCCATTCTATCAAAACAACTTACATAAGAGCCTACTACCCGGCGACATCAGAAAATCTTAGTTATAATATTTTGCCTTTTTCTTCATTGGACGTTGCTGAATCTGCCCTTTCAACCTCGGCGAATTAACCGCACCTAACTGGTCGCGAGATTCGGTTTTAATGGTCCATCTCGTCTCACGAGTTCACCCATGACTGAAGGTTACAAACTTCCACAGCCACCACGTGGCAAAAGGGTTTTGAGATTATTTACAAGATCACCGCCCAATGGCGCCTGCGGTCCAATGATCAAATCCCGGCTCGTACAACGTCCAACCATTGTGGATAAAAGGTTCAGTTAGCTGCGGAATTGCCTAATTGGTAGGAGACCTGTCTTTGGGAGAAGAAAACACTTGCTTGTATGCAGGACCCGCATTGTACAGGGTAGGCCCAATTTATAGGAACCCATGAGCAGCTTCAAATTTGACGAATAATGATGAATTCGAATCCTAACGTGAATAAAATCTACTTCTCCAGCTAAGGAACGCCATCTTCACGGGGGGATCTCTTCAAGCGCTTCGATAGAGCATGGGTCAACCCTTTATTTGCGTTTTTGAGGAATTGTTCTGCACCTTTTAGGGGGATGGATGCACCCCCCCCCCCTCGTGTGTGGAACATTAGGTATATGTATATGGAACGTGGGCCGGGGGGGGGGGGGCGCCGGAGTATTCCCGTTTCCCTTTGGTTCCTATCTCAATCAACTAGTGAATTTCAATAAGGTTGCGCCTGTCTCTGTTGGAGCAGAGTGCCTTCGAATTCGGGTTTTTGGTGCAGCTCTTGATGGTAGGAAAGGCAACTTATCCTCTCTGCAAGAATCGCTAACATTGTGCCTAGTTTTTTTTTAGGAACTCGCAAATGGTACTTATCTTTCCCTGGCATGCGAGGTCTCATTATTTAAAGTGTTAACTGCCGATTCAAAGTAACTAATATGGAAAGGTGAACAGGTTTGATAAACTTCAAGGTTCAAGCTTCTCAAGGTACTGAAAGTCTTTTGAAAAATCATCGATTCGAGAACTACTCCCGTTGGGACTCTTTGTTGTGGGAAGGTGGTTGTGGGACTATTTTTTTAATGCGAGTTTTCGCCTATAAATGATTAAAGCTTTATTCAAATACATGGCTTACTTTGGAAAGCCGAGCCACCATGACAAACTTCAATGGTTCAAGCTTCCTAAACTGTAGCGAAGTTTATCCAAAAATTCGTCGATTCAAAAATTAGAAGGTCGGTTTTTGGAGGGGCACCCATCAAATCATTTTCTTGGAAACGCGGGTTTTCTTTAGGCTTCGATTTCGTGCAAAACATTGAGCGTGTTAGAAACTTTCAAAAATTCGGGATCAAGACTATGTGGGAATCCGTTCGGACTTTGAGGTAATCCGTTCCTCCGAAAAAATTCTTTTGGTAAAAATTTCTTTTTTTATAAAGCCCATCCTTCAAACTTCTGCAATTTTCTTCATTTCATTCAATTCAGGAACACCGGAATTCTTCTGAGCAGTTTTTGATCAGATATCTCAAAGTCAAAGCGCTTTGGCTAACAAAACTTGTCATGGTTTGCGCCGCGTCTGCGCGGTGCTTCTAATTCGCCGATGCATTTCACATATATATCGATTTATATATCGCTTTAGATATCGATTTACCCTGCTGATTACATTGCTGACCCCCTCCCAGATTGTGGACGATGTACGACCCTCCCCCTTGTTGGTACTTGTACCAACATAGGGTTGACCCTGGATCACAGTCTTGCGTCAGACAGGAGTCACCCAATAATACCATTATTCCCCCATTATCACCCTCACCGTTGTGGCCTGACTCCGAGACCAGTTAATACACCCCGACTCCACCGGTGGTTAGTCGTTTTTGGACGCGCCATGCAGTCGATTTCCATGCAGTATTGTAGCGGCTCGACCATGATTGGGCCCCGTGCAATAAATTGCAAGGCCAGCTGACAAACAAATCAGTATTTTTATATACCCAGGCGAGGCTGGTAAAAATTAGCCGACTTTCTTGGAAAGATGGAAGGCTCAGTTGGCATGGACGAGATTCAATCCCGAAATTTACTGCGACCGTTATGGGTGGTGAGTGGTAGCGCTACTTGCCGCTGACACCAACGCCGCGGAGCATAGATCTTCGAGCTCCCCGCTACTGTTAACGTTTAAACTATATTATCTCCGCCTAGTGAAAAACAACAAAAAGGTGAAGAAGATTAAAATTTATTATAGAGACTAGTAAT